ACTGTGGAAACTCTTAAAATCAAAATTAAATGGGGAAATATATTCAAAGCCATAAAAGGGGCCCTTCTTCTAGTAATTATATACCCAGCTGGAATAATAGATTGGATTCAAAAAGAATTAGAAGAATTGGATCGAAAAACATGGAAACTAATAAACATGCATCAGGTACTACATCCAAAAAGTGATGTGGACAGATTATATCTGCCACAAAAAATCAGAGGCCATGGATTGCTGCAAATACAGCAGGGAGTAGAGGAGGAAAAAAAAAGAAGCCTAAATGATTATATCAGTACAAGCAGGGAAAAATTACTAAAAGCAGTGAAAATGGTGACTATTTGGAAAACAACAGAAACAAAGGCTCAATATAAGAAAAAACAATTTAATCCCAAATTGCTTTGGCATATTAATGCAGAGAAAATACTGTTACCTCCTCAAATCCCATGTAAATTGGCAAATTCCTTGGCCAGGGTGTCTAACCCATCCAGATGAAGGAGAAGGTGTGTGGAATAATGTCACCATTTGCAGTTATTATTCTTTTCTTTTAAAAATCCTTACTCCATTGTGGTGTTGTTGTTTAGTCATTTAGTCAATTGCTTTGGCATATTAATGCAGAGAAAATACTGTTACCTCCTCAAATCCCATGTAAATTGGCAAATTCCTTGGCCAGGGTGTCTAACCCATCCAGATGAAGGAGAAGGTGTGTGGAATAATGTCACCATTTGCAGTTATTATTCTTTTCTTTTAAAAATCCTTACTCCATTGTGGTGTTGTTGTTTAGTCATTTAGTCTAGGTGGTGGTGGTGTTTAGTCATTTAGTCATGTCCGACTCTTCGTGACTCCATGGACCAGAGCACGCCAGGCCCTCCTGTCTTCTACTGCCTCCTGGAGTTGAGTCAAATAGTGGCTAAACTGCAGTATGTACATTTGGTAGTCACATGTTAACTACTTCAATGATTACGCCCTCAACATTTTAACTACTTGGTGTGACCTATTGGCTGGAATCCTGTTGCTAAGTTTAGCAAGTCTAAGAGTAGGAATCCGTGGGGATTTAGTGAGTCAAATCCTCTGTTATTTCCATCAATTCAATAGCCCTAATTTAGTTGTAATGTACAACGCTAAACAACAGGATTTGAAACATTTTTTATTTTACACTATGTCCTCACCTTCTCACACAATTTTGTATATGTTTTTGCCGCACTGGCTGTTATGTTAGTTTGACTGTTATTTCAGTAAATCTTAAACACATTTTTCATTACTGGATGTAGCTTTAGTCGTTCACAATATGGTCAATTGATCAATTTGCTGTTTGAACTCAAAAGTCGTTCACAGTATGGTCAATTGATCAATTTGCTGTTTGAAACAATAATTTGATCAAGGGATTTAATCAATTTGAAACAAAAGAAATGACTTGAGGTTAAGTTATTGTTGTTGTTTCTGTTGTTTTGACTTAAACACACACACACACCATAGTGCTATAGCACTTTCTGGGCGGTTTACAATATAATAATGGAAACAATGCTTTGCCCCCCGGTGAGCTGGGTACTCATTTTACTGACCTCAGAAAGATGGAAGGCTGCGTGAACCATGAGCTGGCTACCTGAACCCTTTGGATTTGAATTCGGGTCATGAGCAGAGGCTTAACTGCAATACTGCAGTTTAGCCAATATGCCATGAGATTTGCTAAATGGAGCAAAGAAACCATCTTGCAAATATTGATTCTATGGGCAATGAATATTTGCAGATCATTCATACGCTTACACATTTTCTGGGCTTCAAAATGAACATTTTGGGCAGAATTGTGAAGCAATGTCATGATAGGAAAGGGTGAGGACAGAAACTTAGACGTGAGGAGTGTTCTGAAGGGGGGGTGAACAACCTCCAGAGATCTCTGGGATGCCCATGCTCCAGCCCTTCCCCTTCCAAGGGGAGGCATGTAATGAATTGAAGGATACTGGGAATTGTAGTCCTATAAAGATGGAGTCTGTTAGGTTTTGAATATGATGCATTAAAGGCAATGGAATGTGCGAGACTGTTTTTGCAGAGAGTTACTTCACCTGATATGGAGATAAAGACGGCAAGGCCAGAGGGGCCTAGAATGAAGACCAGACAAGAATACGGCGTAACTGGAAGCGAGAAAAGACATCTGTGGGTCTCATGTGAAATAGGGGTGGAGAGTCGTGTTAAGCAATTGCGATCGCAAAAACATTGTCATGAAGTGGATTCATTGTAGTGCGGGGTAATCGTTAAGCTGGGCACGACTGTACGTAGTAGAGACTGAGTTGTTCTTATTGTATCTAGAAATAGCAGCTTTATTTAACCATTGTAATGGGTGGATTGGAAGGACAGATCCTGAAGCTGAGGCTCCAATACTTTGGCCATCTCATGAGAAGAGAAGACTCCCTGGAAAAGACCCTGATGTTAGGAAAGCGTGAAGGCAAGAGGAGAAGGGGACGACAGAGGATGAGATGGTTGGACAGTGTCATCGAAGCGACCAACATGAATTTGACCCAACTCCGGGAGGCAGTGGAAGACAGGAGGGCCTGGTGTGCTCTGGTCCATGGGTTCACGAAGGGACGGACACAATTTAATGACTAAACAACAATGGTTGGATATGTTAAAAGTTTATGCCTTAATGCTACAAGTGTATACTAATGAAAGTCTCTTGTTTTCTTAATAAAAACAAATATAATTCTTAAGCAGAGAACTGGTATCTGGATCACAGCAGGACTTACACCTAAATCTAGGGGAGATTTGAGAAGGTCGCTAAGTAGCTACCGTTGAGAGATCCTACCCTACAAGGCTGTTGTGCTGTCTAAGGAAGCACAACCCCAATGCTTGGTTACTTGGAAAGTAAGCACAGGTTTCTTTTTAAGGCCAGGATAGTCCATGGGGCTTACGCTATGCACTTCTGAGGCCTAGAGGGCCAACCTCAGAGATAAAGGGGGTAGATTTGCGCCCACCGTGACTCCCTGTCCAAACATCTCTTCAGGGAGATGTGATTATGACATTCCACACACCAAAACATATATATCTTGCAAAACTGGGTGGTTTAAACTAAAACATTGCTCTTGCATCATGAATAAAATGGGGGATGGGGAGGTGTTAAGGAATGTCATGTCATCCACCCCAATGTACTGTTTGGATGATGTTCAAACTGTTGGCCCCGGTGGTCATGCTAGCGATTTAGCGTCTCCTTCTGGCTGCAAAATGTCTCAGGTTGCAACAGGACAGATACTTAACCTTCTCTATTTGAAGGAGATAGAAATCAATGAAATCCTGGGGTTCATGCAGGGAGTGTCGCTCCTTATGTTTCTCAATCTCTCTCCTAGTGAAAGCAAGCACCAGCTCTGCGGAGCACAAGGCCTTCTGTTGAGGCCCTGGCAGTTTTTTCATCAGCCATGGGAAGATTTCACTGATCTGTAGGGAAAAAAGAAAGCCAACTCGTTCTACTGTCCTATGAAGGCTCGGCAGGGCATCCCAGCCATTGCTTCCTTTGGATTAACACTCTTGTCCATTTTGTCTTCTCTCACCTATGTTTCCATCCAATTTATGAAGAAAACTTTGGTACTGTAAGTTCTTGCATGGACGTAAACCGCACAAAGTTCCCAAATTCTCCATCGTGGCTGCTATGTTTATTATTGAAAGTAATTTTCTTCTCATGCAGCTCTTAAAGATGGATCATATTCTACCTGCCTGCCATGTAAAGGTAAAGGTAAAGGTAAAGGTTCCCCTTGATATTTAGTCCAGTTGGGGTCTGACTCTACGGTACGGTGCTCATCCCCGTCTCCAAGCCGCAGAGCCAGCGTTTGTCCGCAGACAGTTTCCGTGGTCACGTGGCCAGCGTGACTAGACACGGAACGCCGTGACCTTCCCACAGGGGTGGCACCTAATTATCAACTCACATTTTTACATGGTTTTGAACGGCTAGGTTGGCAGGAGCTGAGACAAGCGATGGGCGCTCACTCCGTCACGTGGATTTGATCTCATGACTGCTGGTCTTCCGACCTTGCAGCACAGAGGCTTTTGCGGTTTAACTCGCAGCGACACCACGTCCCTGACTAGCAGAAAAGAGGGACAGCCACCCTAATTCAATACGATATGGATTGGAAAGCATAGATAAATGAAGAATGTGAAGGTCCCTTTAGGGAATGGAGAGATTAGTCACTATAGCAATTCTGGTAAATCCCTTTAAGCTGTTCTTTGTTGCTATCTTCCTCTTTTAGTATAATTTTATAAGTGGATGTAAAAGGACTCTCTCACTCTCTGGAATTTTACCTTTTTCCTACCCATAACCATTCCCTCAGCCCCCAAATCCCCTCACCCCCAATCCTGACCCCATTAAAAAGGAATAAAAACGGAACAAAACATGGGCTGAATACGAAGGATTCAAAGCCTGACTTTTAAGGACTAACCTTTCCCTCAGCCCCAAAATCCCCTCACCCCCAATCCTGTCCCCATTAAAAAGGAATAAAAACATAACAAAACATGGGCTGAATAGAAAGGATTCAAAGCCTGACTTTTAAGGACTAAAACTCTCTACTGGAATAACATCATTGGTCAGATCTGCTTGTGCTCACATGAAAAGTGACATTTCCAGTTTTTTTTTCTGCTGAAGAAATAGTTGACATTTTGGAAAGTTCTGGTCAAAAAAGGAACGGAGAAGGCAATGAAAGGGAACACGATGATGTGGATGAACAGATCATCAAACATAGGTTTTTCCCTGACAAACCCAAAACTTAACAAGTCTGACGTTAGGGTTCCGTGAACACCCATGGACTCAGGAAGAGGGAAGGAGACAACTCACACCATGGACGAAGCTGCCTCCAAATTTTAGCAGATAATCAACAGCCGCCACCAGCTTCTGGAATTCTTCATCTTCAAGGGAAAACCGGTATCCAAAAGCCAAGACACATATCAGACTGGAAACAGCATTAGTAAGCGCTAGTAAAGGATCAAACGGTTGCCCTGGAAATAAAATAATTTCGGTTCATGTATAACTATTATTCTGCATTGCCTGTTACTACAGAAATGTATCCTGATGCAGCTTCTGTTGCAATGGGAGGCAGTTTTCCCATTACTACTGAGTATCACATACCTTTTGTTTTTGCAAAGATTTCTACCAGCTGGAGGGCCTCCTCTTCAATCTGGTGCTCCATGCCTTTTTTCCCCAGTCCTAGAGCACGCATAGTAGCTACGCCAAAACGCCTCTGCTGTTTCCAGGTGAGCCCATTGGCAAGTACAATACCTGAAAGGATCAATAACAAGAAAGAAACCATTACATGCAAACAGAATTCATTTTAGGTTAGTGCAACCACCCTTAGCCTTCCAAGGAGCGTGCCAGCGTTTGGAGAACTGCAGCCAATGTGCACCTCAACCAGGGAAGCGAATAGAGAGCTTCTAGACTCATAATGAACAGAGCATCCTCTTGGTTTAATAGAACGATTTGTCCTAAATGAAAGTGGTCCAAGATGTTTGCTTTTGGAGTCCAAGGCTCGCGTTCTCTGTGTTTTAGCACTGTTGGCTTGCCTGTCTTGGAAGAGTTGGACAGCGAACCAACTTTAGCAGAAATAAATACAAGGACGTGATACAAGGAGATCTGCAAGCGGGATCTGAAGGCCTTAGGAATTAACTTCAACAAATGGGAAACCCTGACCTCTGAGCGTTCAGCCTGGAGGCAGGTGGTGCATCACGGCCTCTCCCAATTTGAAAAGACCCTTGTCCAGCAGGCCGAGGCCAAGAGGCAGACCTGAAACCAGCAAAACCAGGGAGCTGGACAGGGGACAGATTCGATTTGTCTTCAGTGTGGAAGGGATTGTCACTCTTGAATTGGCCTTCTCAGCCACACCTGGACAGGGGACAGATTGTATTTGTCTTCAGTGTGGAAGGGATTGTCAGTCTCGAATTGGCCTTCCCAGCCACACGAGACGCTGTTCCAAGTCCTCTATTCAGAGCACGTTACCATAACTGCTCTAGACTGAAGGATGCCTACATATAACACTGTTGGCTTGCCTAAGGAGATGGTTGAGGGGATGGGAGTGTGTGTATATTTTTTAAAAAGCCTTCACCATGAGTCAGCTGTACCAGCTGCATGATCCTTTTTGTGGCCATCTACTGCATTTTCATTTGGAACCATTCGTCATGCTGCAGAGAGTGTAATGATTCTCCATTCCCCACCTAGTCTCAGGCTGAGGGTTTTCTGCCTCAAGATCACATTTCCAGGGACCCCAGGCAGTTTTCCATGTTTTGGTTATTTCCACCACCCCAGATTTTCGGGTTTCAAGGGACTGTCGGCACTTTATCAACCTGTGGACCCTTCGGACATGTCCAAAGGGCCAAGACAGGACACCGAGCTGCGCCCCACCTCTCCCTGTTAGCCTGTAGACCAGACTTTAGAAGGTTTATTAAAAGAAAACATATAAAGAAAAATAACAGAATGAAACAAATTGTTGCCAATGGAAAATAACAAGTTCAAGGTTAGAAAAATAATTGTTATGTGGATACACATCGCCAATTAGGACAGTAAGATTCCAAGCTTATCCTTACTAATAGGAATAAGCTTCAAGCCTGCCTATCCAGGCTGCCTGGACATTCCCTTTATCTCATATTTTGACTCTTCAGGGTTTTGGAAAGCCCATTTCATCAATGGCTTGTAAGCTCCCTTTGAATACAGCAGGGAGCCTGAGGGTACATAGACTGTCCAGACAGAAAACTCAGTGACTTCAAAAGCTCTTTGAAAATCAAGATGTCCTTTGAAAATCTGGATGCAGGGAAAAATCACACCTCCTTCAAGATTCGCTCAGCAGAATGAGAGTATGTTTAATTAATCCAACAAATCACTAAAACCCAGTTTCCCAAGTGGTCAGGCACTCCCACAGGCACTCTGTGGATATCCCCACAGAGAGCAACACCCAAAGTCGGCATGGCTGTTTTGGAATGAAGAAGCAAAAACCTGAAACCACTGTGCTTTGCACAATCACCGTGTATGTTTATTTTTATAGACTTCGAGTTCTGCGTAGGTAAATAAAGCTTGTGGAATTAGCAGTCCTCACTTTTGTTGCCAGCGGTTTAGACATCAATGGCTGTGTGTTACGTTATTTTGAGGGGACAGCACATTGACACTGTTATACAAGCTGTATACTCACTGCTTTACAGTGTCATTTCTTCAGTGTTGTCACATGAAAAGATACAGTGGTGCCTTGCTTAACGAGGAGAATCCGTTCCAGAGAAATCGCTGTAGAGCGAAATCCTCGGTAAGTGAAATAAAAAATCACATTGAAACGCATTGAAAACCCGTTCAATGCGTTCCAATGGGCTGAAAATTCACCGCCCAGCGAAGATCCTCCATAGGGGCGGCCATTTATGGTGCCTGTATAGCGAGGAGTCCGTCCAAAAACACAGCGGGGAGCCATTTTACACAGCGGGCGGCCATTTTGAAGCCGCCAATCAGCTGTTTTAAAATCGTCATAATGCGAAGAATCGGTTCCCGAAGCAGGGAACCGATTGTCACAAAGCGGATTTTGCCTATTAAAACATTGTTTTGCGATTGCAAAAGCGATCGCAACAGTCATCGTATAGCAGTTTTGTCGTTTAACGAAGCAATCGATAAGCAAGGCACCACTGTAGACTAATATATTTGTGAAATGTGAGGGGATGTACTCACTTTTGTGATACACTGTATATATCCCAGACTTTGTGGACATATAGGATTGTATCTCTTTAGTCAGATAAGAAAATGGCCTCTGCTGTCTTTTTATCTGAGTGCCTAATGAGATAGCTAGCAAACAAGGTGCAATGGCAGAAACTCCATAATCTTTTCTTTTGCTGAAAGAAATACTCCTTCTTCCTCTGCTATTTCACTGGAGGAAGTAGTATTAAAACACTGCCCACTTCACAAGCACTTACCCTTCTTTTTAAACGTTTCCTTAAGCAGAGGGGTCACTGGTCTCCCAGACAAACCTTCTGAATGATTGATCAGACCTTCTTTCACTGTTTGGTATCCAGACAGTACCACGATGGGCGCACGGCCTATCCACACAGTGTAAATGTTCCCATATTGCTTAGCCAGCTGCCATGCGGATCAAGTTAGAGAAAAGATAGGTCACATTCAAAGCAAGCAGAGGGAGCATTTCAAGTCATTAAGCCAATTTCACCTTTTCTCAGCTTTGCAATGCCTGAGTGCATGCCATAGAATCATAGAATGGCCGTAGGGTTGGAAGGGACCTCGGAGGTCTTCTAGTCCAACCCCCTATAAGCAAGGCACCACTGTAGACTAATATATTTGTGAAATGTGAGGGGATGTACTCACTTTTGTGATACACTGTATATATCCCAATACTTTGTGGACATATAGGATTGTATCTCTTTAGTCAGATAAGAAAATGGCCTCTGCTGTCTTTTTATCTGAGTGCCTAATGAGATAGCTAGCAAACAAGGTGCAATGGCAGAAACTCCAGCTGACGGATGCGTCCAGAAATTTTTCTTTTGCTGAAAGAAGTACTCCTTCTTCCTCTGTTATTTCACTGGAGGAAGTAGTATTAAAACACTGCCCACTTCACAAGCACTTACCCTTCTTTTTAAATGTTTCCTTAAGCAGAGGGGTCACTGGTCTCCCAGACAAACCTTCTGAATGATTGATCAGACCTTCTTTCACTGTTTGGTATCCAGACAGTACCACGATGGGCGCACGGCCTATCCACACAGTGTAAATGTTCCCATATTGCTTAGCCAGCTGCCATGCGGATCAAGTTAGAGAAAAGATAGGTCACATTCAAAGCAAGCAGAGGGAGCATTTCAAGTCATTAAGCCAATTTCACCTTTTCTCAGCTTTGCAATGCCTGAGTGCATGCCATAGAATCATAGAATGGCCGTAGGGTTGGAAGGGACCTCGGAGGTCTTCTAGTCCAACCCCCTGCCCAAGAAAGGAGACCTCTGTCCAATCTTGTCTTGAAAACCTTTCAGCGATGGGACACCCACCACGTAGCGGCTTAATGGTTCTCACCACCACCACCACCACCACCACCCATATTTTGCCAAAAATGTGACAGTAAAAACCAAACCATACCCTAGTGCCTTTCTCTGAGCACACAGAGAGAGCAAGCACATGAAAATTGATGACAAAGATGCTAGTAACCCATACAGTGTTTTAAAAGTCATTGTCGCTTCATGTTTTGCATAATGAATCCCGCTCTCACTTTGTCAGAATGTCCCTATGCAGAACTAGTACCCTTTTATTTTGTGGAACGATCAGACATGTATACAGCAAGAGCGGAATGATTGGTGAATTGAAAAAGACTTGAGCAACCCATCCAAGGCAGCCGTTGTCATAGCTGGGACAAAAAAAAAATCCAAGATTTTCCCCTCCTGCAGTCTTCGCCGTCAAACAGTGAGCAGAATTTTTTTTTCATGATTTCTTATTTAGTATGGAAGGATAAGACGAGGTTTACTTTCCTTTTGAGATCTCAGCTGAAAACATCTCCCTGGCTTTTGATAGCATTAAAAAGCTTTGCTGCAATTGACCACGTTTGTGGTGGGCTGTGAACACGAAGTTTTCCAATTGGTGAAAAATAAAGCTTTTAACCTGCTTTTCCACTGCACTGTCCACAGACATAGGCAGCTGGCCCTTTATCCTCACCCTGCTCAGGTCTTGCAAAGGGTAAGCTGTGGCTTCTTTAATGGAGTCCATCCAACTCATCCTTGGCCTTCCCTCTTAGCCTGCTGCCTTCCACTTTCCCTCACATTGTGGTCTTTTCCATTGAGTCTTGTCTTCTCATGATGTTGCCAACAGTCTCTCCGTCTAATCTGGTTTGAACTTCGTTTTATGACCTTTCATTTTGGCTGCCACAGTAGCGAGACACTAGTTAATCTCCTTCACTACCTTACCTGCATCTAAGGAAAGAGACGAGCAGGGCTGTGTGTCATCAGAACACGAAGCAAGGAAGTAACACCTCAATGGTCCAGCTAGCCCAGAATCAGCTGACCTGACCTGATCCTGTTCATGTATCTTCTGTACCCATGTTGGGCTAGTTAGCCATCCGTGTGCCAATCAATGCGCTAATCCCCAACCTTAACTGCTCATTTCTTTCTTTCCCCCTTCATTTGTGAGTATGATGGACACGGTCTTTAAAAATGAAGGATGAACTACAATCAGCAGTGCATTCTAAACCCCTGGGTAACCTCAAAAACGGGTTTTCTGAACCTGTTAAATAGCAGGAGGGACAAGTAAGAGATGGAGAGAAATTTGTGCACTCTCATATCAATGCAAATTGACCTAGTAATCTACACTTGCCAAAATAGTGGGCAAACTGAGATTCAGCTTTTTTTGTTGTTGTTGCTATTACCAGTTTTCCAGTTTAATGTAGTTACATTTGTGATGCAGGTCTCCAATTTGCAGCTCTAGGAGAGGATCAAGAAAGTTCCAGTGCCCAGTGATTCCTTCCTGCTTCCTCCTTCCTTGGCCAGCAATAATGCATTAGTTCATTTTGGAGTCTAGAATTTAAAGTCATGGACTCTCCACCACCTTTTATGTAGTACCGGCTTCTTTGCAGATGAAAGGGAAACTATGCCACTAGCAGCAAAGCTAGGGAGTCCTGGGGGACCAGAGCTTCTTGGAATACAGTTCTCATTGCCACAACTGTTGTCTATATTGGCCAGGTCTGATAGGCACTGGACATTTATCAATGACACTTCTCGTCTATGCATACAAAGCTTGAGCACTCTGAAAAGGCTTAACGCAAAGCAGATTTATATAAAGTCAAGAGGAGCAATAAAAGGCAACTCAAAAATCTCTTCCATGAAGCCAGCCCCATTCTGCTAAACATGACAGTTTAATGAATAGGGTTCTGTATCACCCTCTAATGTCTAGAAGTGAGGCCCATACTCACGTACCATGCAGAAGCTAATTTCCCAAACAAGGGGCCACCACAGAAAAGGCCCTGTTCCTTGCTGTCAGGTTTGGGATCATGCTTCTTAACTGGATAGACAGTGGTATCTCTACTTACGAACATTTCGAGTTACGAACAGCTCCATTCGCAAAATGTTGCTTCGACTTGCGAACGGAGCTTCGACTTACGAATGAAAAAAAAACTTTTCCTGCCGTTTTTTTGACCTAAGTTCATCTTGGTCAAAAGAAGAAGAAGAAAATTTTTCCCCTAGTGATAGAGTACGGATTAACCGGCTTTGCATTAGTTCCTATGGGAACTAATGCCTCTACTTGTGAACAATGCCTCGACATAAGAACGAAAAACAGCTGGAACGGCTTAAATGGTTTTCAATGCATCCCTATGGGAAAGTTTGCCTCGACGTACAAACGCCGTTTCAATATGGATTAAGTTCGTAAATTGAGATTCCACTGTATTACCTCTTGTTGACATTTACCTCAACAAGACATGATAGAAATGGGAGATGTACTCTTGAAGATCTATAGATCTGAGGCAATGAAGATAATTCAGGATTTAAAAATATCACATTGAAATGGGCCTCAGAGCCAAATGAGTGTGTGTTAATCTGGTTGAATGGCCGCTCAAACCCACGCTGAGATGCACTGGAGAACTGGCTGATATTTTCTGAATCATTCTCAAGGGTTTCTAAATGTAGCTGGGCCGCAAGACTTTTTTTTCATAATTCTGTGATTGCCTGGAATGAGATATACTGTACAGTCATATTTGTTGCAACATATCCCCCCACTGAAGAACCACTGAAAAAGGAATATTGTAAGAGCCTGTTCCTCACTCCCAGTGAAGTTATGCCCCTTTTAGATGCAGCTGCAGGATCACGAAGAGGATCTGAATGAGTGGGAGAGCTGAATTGAAAGGAATAAGCTCTCTCTGAAATACTGAATGGAATACTTGAAGCAACATCTCAAGGTTGCTAAGGTGTAGACAGCTCTGGTGTAATTCTAGATGCCAAAGTCTTCCCATGCAGCTGCAGGCTGTTCTGGGTGTGTAAATTGATATTATCTACCTGGTTTTATTGTATTTGTTTGCTCTTCTTAACCACTGTGACGAATGTGTAAATGCTAAAAGCACAGCGTGTCAGTTTTTGTCTATATAATAAATACTGCTGCTCTTAAAAATATATCTGTGTCATCCTCCAGTAGAAATGGTTCCCAGGGGCAGTTTACAGACAGAAGGTATAAACCATGATAATATATGCAATAAAACCCATAAAACATGAGCAGGGCCACAGTTAACACTGGCTTTTAGAAAGTAGCATTCAGTCCTGCTGTCCCTTCATTGCTGTACCTGTTCCAGTAACATTACAGTACTGGTAGTGCTCAACATCTGAAAAACTAAGATCATGGCCACTGATCCCATCACCTCCTGGCAAATAAAAGGGGAAGATATGGAGGCAGTGACAGATTTTACTTCGCTGCCCCTTCATTGCTTTTGAATTGTGGTGCTGGAGGAGACTCTTGAGAGTCCCCTGGACCACAAGGAGCTTGATGAAAGCATCAGGAAAGTTTCCTCCTTGTTCTCTTTGGAAGATAAGAGTCTTACTTCTCTTATCTTCCAAAGTGGTCTCCTGGTGTTTGGTGACGTTATCTACTTCGGAAAGCAAGCTTGGTAAATGAGAACAGTTATGTAGACCCAAGTCTTACATCACTACCTCCAATCCCCATTAAATTCCTCCTTTTTGCCTTGAGAACCCATGATGCTTAAATGAATCCACCTCTGAAAGTGAATTTTGAGCCTCATAGTGTAGTGATTAAACTGCAGTACTGCAGTCAAGCCTCTGCTCATGAACCTGAGCTTAATCCTGATGGGTGCAGGTAGGCAGCTCAAGGTTGACTCAAACCTTCCATCTTTCCAACATCATAAAATAATTACCTAATGCACTGGGGGGGGGGCAAGTTGATGTTTGCATAATTATGTTATAAACTGAGCTTAATCCTGATGGGTGCAGGTAGGCAGCTCAAGGTTGACTCAAACCTTCCATCTTTCCAACATCATAAAATTACCTAATGCACTGGGGGGCAAGTTGATGTTTGCATAATTATGTTATAAACTGCCCAGACAGTGCTCGAAGCAGTATGGCACAGTACATAAGTCAAAAAACAACATTGCAAATTAGTACTTAAAATTAGACAGTGTTTGATACTATGCAGTTTCAAGGTTGTGTGGCTTTTTCCCTGGAGTGTCTGGTAAGGGAACTGACTTCCCAGAAAAGAAGTACCAGATCTGAGCCTTCTTACAAGATTAAAAAAGTGTACCGTGGGGAAGTATTTAATTTATGTGAAGAAATTGAGGAATGGGGCAATATGGAACATTAGATTAAGTTACTGGAAGCTTTGATGCTTCTTTGTGGATACTGGGAAGCTGGCCAAACAAGGAGAGGTCAGTAGGTGCCCAGAATAAAAGGACAATTCACACCTTCCATTTATCTCCTGTTAATGAACACATCAAAGGAATGACTAAATGGGGAACTGACACCTCCATGCTTATTTTTTATTAGAGGGCATATCAAAGCAGACCAGAAAGGAATCAAATGCTTTCACTTTAATTCTGGACTTGAAAGAAAGGAATTGAATGCTTTCACTTTAATTCTGGACTTGAAAAAAACAAGCCCACTTCCCTCCCCTGGAGTTATGGAGATCGCAACTGTGAGAAAAGAAAATCGGAAGGAATATACTGTATGTTTGTTCTGAGGTGCATGAAAAAGGATTGAGATGTTGATGGTAACAGGTATGTGATAGCTAGTTTATTTGTATAAAAGGTGATTAGGAAAACTAGTTAGCTTAGCTTGCCTCTAAGGAGCGGGCTTTTGCTTACCTACTGTTTGATGAAGCTATACCAGGGAATGATGCCTTCTGTGTATGCCCCAGATCCAAGCTACTGCTCTGCTAAGGTATATTAGGCAGATAAATTTAGATGTTGTTTTCTGGTGTGTTTCTCTTACATTGCCCGAAACGGTCTCTGTCTTTTGCTACAAGTCTCTTTTGCAACTTTCTTGTAATATTTTGGAACGTTTACGTTTTAACCCCACCCTCGCCCTTTTTAATAAAATACAAAAATCCTTTCAAGCAGTTGTCTGGATGTTTGGCTGAAATGGCTGTGGTACTAAAAGCAGGTCTTGCCTTGACCCAGGTACCAGGATTTTGGTACTTGTGAGTAGGTGGGATGGCAGCTCTCTCTACCTTGCCAGGTTGGCGCATGCCACTTATGGATTGTTTTTAACTCCCTGGAAGCACGGACAGGGCAGAATAAATTGGAGTGCTTGGGGAATAATACAGTCTGCTTCCTTAGTCTCCTCTCCAGCTTGCTTTCCCCTGGTCTCATCCACCTCAAGAGAAAAAGGGCATTGTGGCAGAGTGGTTATAGAGGAGGGTCTAGACAAGGGCCATGATCATTAGCTCTGGGTCATTGAATCTCAGCGGGGCAGGATAAGAAAACTACAAAATTACACATTGTCACCAGTGTCAAACTTCTGACAGGTTTGGGCTTTAATGAGACTGGTATGCTATGGTCTCAGCTGTTATTTTGATTAAGTGGAAGAGCATGCAGAGTAGAATAAGGGTGGTACACCACAGATATTTCACCTGATCCCAGTTCTACCTTTGGTTCCACCTTAATCGGGCGACCAGTTGACAACCCCCATTCGTTTCTATATAAGTCAATGGGCGTCGTTCAGTTTAATGGAAGAAAGTAAATCAAACCCGTTATGTTGCCGAGTATCTTGCTATTACGTAATAAAACAAATCATTATTGTCAGAGTAGTAATAAGCCGAAGGACATGATTGATAAGACGGGATCAGTAGAATGACATCCTTCCCACATTAATAGCTCTGTGTACATGTAGGTATCCCTGGGATCTAGGGTGGCTCAGGGACCACAGTGGTGCCTCACTTCAAAAATTCGGGAGGAGGAACCCACCCTGCCCCAGTCATGAACCCTCTCATCTAGGATACCGAATATTTGTGAAATGATCCACAGTTTCTTTAAAGAGACCACAAATATCACAAGGCGTGCTGTCAAAGAGAAGTCTCTAGTCCCCAAGAATCATTGTCTGGAATGCATTGTTAATAACAACACATTTGCCATCATCATAACCATTGGGAACAAAAGTGAGTCCTAATTCTATCCACTAAAGCTGATTATGATTTTTCCCCTTCCCGAGGGAGAAGTACCTTAATGAGAAGGTCTGGAGCCAGTCGGATCCCAGTTCTCCAGATTCCTCCAATGATCGGAAGCGGGAAAGGTCCAGGAGGGTAGCATCTGTATAACCGGAGCTGTTTCACATAGTGCTGAACCAGAAGACCTGCCATCAAAAGCATCAAAAATGCCCAGATGCCCAACATTTCCCTTCTCTTTCAAGGTCCTTTCTCTTTCAGCCAGTCTAGCAGAGGTAGAGTATTGAACGTATTTCCTCCAACGGATCGTCTTTCTTCTTTTCCTTTCTCTCAGGGGTTGTCAGTTCTGTTCTCCTCTGTTTTTCCATCCATGGAGTCATGCAATCATGAATGGGATTTGTTCTTACTTGCCAAGGAATATTAGTGTCAGGGCTGAGATGGTTATATGTGATATTTTTCAATTAAGTAGTTGACAGAAGGACAGCTTTGCTGAGCAGTCCTACGCCCCCATTTAATGGGAAGGGAAGAAAGGAGCCATCGCTTGTCTACACCAAAGCAACGTTCACAAAATCCTATAATTACACAGTCTAGAAGAGGGTGAATACACTGCTCTGAAAAACTAAGCACCAAAAGATGATGATGATGATGATGATGATGTCTTGGTTTCCCTCAACACTACAGTCAATACTTATCACAAAGTCAGTGATAAGTCTTTCTTTCTTTCTTTCTTTCTTTAAGTGATAAGTCTTCCTTCCTTCCTTTTCTCCCTCCCTCCCTCTGAGGAGACCCTGGTTTCAGTACTTTATTCTCAAGCCCTTTCCCAAACACATCCTCCTTTGTGAATTTTCTGTGTGGAGTTCTCCTATATCTTACACCTCTGGGGAGACTCTGGTTTCAGTACATTATTTTCAAGCCCTTTCCCAAACACATCCTCCTTTGTGAATTTTCTGTGTGGAGTTCTCCTATATCTTACATCTGGAACCTTGGGCGATGTCTCTTCTGATCTCCACCCAGCTCCAAAAAAGAAAAACAAGGATTTACTCTCTCCCCCTCCCCAATTTTAAAATTATATACAGATACGAAGATGAATATACAGGGCATGCCTAGACAGATATTTGTCCCACTGTTTATGCTGTTTCTCACGGTCCGATATGTGTTTGTTTGTTTATGTATTTATGTATTTATGTATTTATTTGATTTGATTTGATTTGATTTGATTTGATTCCCACCCATCTGGTCTAGTCAACCACTCTGTGTTCCATTGTCTTCTACATGATTAACCCCACGCAGAGCCGGCCTTTTGGCATGTGCATGTGGTACATGTTGTCGCTTTACCCTTCTCACGTTCCGACATGTGTTCCGTTGTCTACATGATTAACCCCGCGCAGGGCCGGCCTTTTGGCGTGTGCATGTGGTACATGTTGTCGCTTTACCACCTGAGCTTATCATCTGTTTTATTTTAGTTTGTTGTCATCTGGTTTTTTTGTGTGCTTGATTACATTATTTCATTCATTTTTATATATACACTGCCTAGAATAGCGCTATGCACTAACAGGGCATTTATATAAATGTCAGAAATCTATGATAAATAAAGACATGGTCCAGCCAGCAGAGGACTTGTGCTTTCTTTGTAATGTTTCCAATTGCATTATTTACTGGTAAAGACTACAGTTGTGATGTAATTTGAAAAATGTAATTCTAGAAATATCCTCTCCACCCCCGGGTTAGCATTTTATCGCAAAACCGACACAGCACTAATTCAAACATTCACTAGACCTTGTCATTTCAGCGCTGTTTCATTTGCTAAACATAAAATAATAATATTAAAAAGATTGGAAGGCCAGCTAAAGGGGTGGATAAAAAGAGGGTGGTGATAATGGCAGAGAACAGTCGGGGGGGTGGGCTTGTGTGGGCTCTTGAAATGCACCTGGCTGAGAAAATCAAATATTTATGTGTGAACCACGGCAGCGATTTAAATGCACAGATATTCACATCAACTTGGGACAAGCTTTGGTGTGGTCATGCCCTCAAGCTGTTTTAACTAGTCTGGACTGGCGGGTGTTTCAGCAGGCTAAGCCCTGCGAGTTTTGCTCATTATATCAGTTTTACTTTGGCTCTCATATAGTCAGGTTCATATTTTATACATTCAGTGAGATTAATTAAACTTTCCATTTTATAATCTTGGTCTGAAAGAATTATCCTGCTTTAATGACGGCAAGCAGACAGCGGTACAACGCAACACCACATGATGAGTGGCAGCACAATAGGAAAACAAACCCATGCCATTTTAAAAATTAAATTTTATTCTTCTAATAAATAAATATATGCACACATATATCCCAGCATCCTTCTTCCTTCCCACCTTCCCTTTCCCATTCCATGTGACAATGTCATATCCACATTAAAATCATATTCCAAGTACATTATAAAGACCAATAAATTCTATATGCATTGTTGTTGTTTAGTCGTTAAGTCGTGTCTGACTCTTTGTGACCCCATGGACCACCCTCCAGGCCCTCCTGTCTTCCACTGCCTCCTGGAGTTGGGTCAAATTCATGCTGGTTGCTTCGATGACACTGTCCATCCATCTCATCCTCTGTCGTCCCCGTCTCCTCTTGCCTTCACACTTTCCCAACATGAGGGGCTTTTCCAGGGAGTCTTCTCTTCTCATGAGATGGCCAAAGGATTGGAGCCTCGGCTTCAGGATCTGTCCTTCCAGGGAGCACTCAGGGTTGATTTCCTTCAGAATGGATGGGTTTGTACTCCTTGCAGTCCAGGGGACTCTCCAGAATCTCCTCCAGCACCACAATTCAAAAGAATAAATTCTTCGGCGGTCAGCCTTCTCAGGATTAGACTACTGTAATGCTCTCTACATAGGGCTGTCCATGAGGCTGCTACGGAATCTTCAGCAGGTTCAGAACATGGCATCCAGACTATCGTGTGGAGTAAATAAATACGATCATATCTCCCCTATTCTGGCCACCTTACACTGATTTCCTGTTCATTTCCATGCCAGCTTCAAGATGATGATGATTACATACAAAGCCCTAAATGGTTTGGGACCTCAATACCTGGCAGAATGCCTCCTTCCAATGAGATCTGCCTGTCCCACAAGATTTTCCCAGGCTGGGTGGTTGAAAACATTGACCCTGAGAGAGGGTCCAAATACCGAGCCTTCTCAGCAGTTGTTCCCAATTTCTGGAACAACCTCCCACTTGAAATTCCCCTGGTCCATTCACTGGGAATGTTTTAATTGTCCTTAAAAACATAGCTCTTCGGACAGGCCTTCCCGGAGCCCATAACATCATAACACAGTGGTTGTCTCAGTGTTCAAATTATCCGCTCCTCTACCTTGCCTTTAAGTTACCTTATTCATTTTTAGTTAATTTTATGTCGTTCTTACTATATGTACCAGTGTTAATTTTGATTGTTAATTGTGATGTTTATGTTTTATGTTTACTGTTTAAAATTGTTATCTCTTATGTTGTAAATCACCCAGAGCAGCCTTGGCAGCTGGATAGGTGTTATGAATGAATGAATGAATGAATGAATGAATAAATGAATGAATGAATGAATGAATGAATGAATGAATGAATGAATGAATGAATGAATGGAAAAGATGCTGCTCTGTTGTTTTCCTCTTTCTTTGTTGATAATGGTTCAACATGTTGGCCAAAATGTTGCCAGGTTGTGAAATTTATTCAAACGAAGGCACTCCTGCTTCCACAATGCAAGGGATTTTAAACAGCAGAGTGCTGTAGCACGTGTTTGATCCTCTTTGAAAACGGTTGAACAAGTCCAATCCACCTGTTCTGAGCGTGGCTACATTTGGAACTGTCCATTCAATGGATGGTGTCTTCTGTTCCTTGGAAGAACTTTGTAATGAGACTCATTACCACAACCTGTATAGGCGAAGTACATGCAGTTCAACTGTACGGGACTCACGGTGATGAAATGGGAGGCTGAGACCAAGTAATTCATAAAATGGACCTTATCTCTGGAACACTTGAGAAAGCCTTGGGTTGTGTGGGAGGCTATATTGCCAGTACTAGTTCTCTGGTGAACCCTCTTTGATCCTATGCTGCTTTGCTTTGCTTTATCTTTGCAACATCACCTGCCACCCTTGGTTTAAGCTGGCATGTGAGAATATCTGTGAGAAGCCTGAAAAAATGCTAAGGGGCAAATTCTTCACCACCAGTACCAGCACAGCCTCAAACTGGTGAGGCAGGTGCTGTGGGATCGCGGGCTCCTTGGAGTGCATCGTCCCAATCACATCATGCTAATGAGGGTGGCAGAGGCTGCTACAAACACTGAAATTTGTGCCAAAATGATGAGCCAGCCTATCACCTCGGTTCAAGCAATATACTGTTCCACCGTGCCATAGAATCATAGAATAATGGAAGGCGGCCTACGAGGCCATTGAGTCCGACCCGCTGCTCAAAGCAGGAGTCCAAATCAAAGCAGATCTGAGAGACGGTTGTGTTTCTTGAATGCCTCCAGCGTTGGAGCGCTCACCGAGACCTCCCGAGGTCATTGGTTCAATTGTTCTACAGCTCTAACAGTTAAGGAGTTTTTCCTAATATTCAACCTAAATCTGGTTCCCTGTAGCTTGAGCCTATTATTATGTGTCCTGCACTGTGGGATGATCAAGAACAGATCCTGCCTCTCCTCTGTAGGACTACCTTTCAAATACAGTATTTGAAAAGTGCTATCCTGTCTCCCCTCTGTCTTCTTTTCTCAAGTTCAAACATGCCCAATTCTTTCACTTTTTCCTCCCAGGGCTTGGTTTCCAGTCCCCAGAACATCCCGGCTACCTTCTTCTGAACCTGCTGCAGTTTGTTGGCATCCTTCATGAAACGTGGTATCCAGAACTGGGCCCATTACTCTGGATGAGGCTTAACCAATGCTAAAAAGCTCCTGCAAATTGACCCCATGCCTTATCACAGTCCACAGATGATGAACTTTTTAAAAAAGAAATTGCTAATGGGAAGTTGATGGGTGGAGCTGAACCCACATTCCTCAGCTGAACACTATTTCCGTCAACGACTGCTACTCTTCGACGTAAGGCTTGAAATTAGAAATCAATGAAGAGCAGCATAAAGTCTGCCTTAAGACTGAATGGAATTTTGACTGACTATTTTTCCCGTCATATATGTAGGGCCAGCTCTGCATTGGCATATCTTTTATGACAAGGGCTTAGCAAATGTTCCGCTGACATGCAATATCTCATAGTCTCCCAGGAACTTGTTCTGAAATGGAGGATTTTATGCCACAGCTCAGGATCCAACATCTCCGTGAACCGAACGCTAAGTAGTGCCAGGCTCCCTGTGTGCCTTGGTGTTTGGCGAACTCTGGGTCTCCTCTGACTGGATGCTTCATCCTTTCCATCTGTCATCCACAGCCCTTCTGGACATCATATAAGTCCGGGAACTTGTTCTGAAATGTAGGATTTCATGCCACAGCCCTTCTGGACATCATATAAGTCCAAGCAGGAGGCTAGTGTCTTCTGCTCTCCTGGAAGAACCTTTCACAATACTGTAGCTCCATCGGTGTCCCATCTAATTATGTGCATCAGGGTGCTGTTCTTCCTCCACAAATTCTATTGATTCAATGGCCTCCTCCAGTTGCAACTTCCAATGCCAAGCAACAGGATTACAGCCAGCACATCCAGAATTAAGAGGCTCCATCGGCGTCCCATCTAATTATGTGCATCAGGGTGCTGTTCTTCCTCCACAAATTCCATTCATTCAATGGCCTCCTCCAGTTGCAACTTCCAATGCCAAGCAACAGGATTACAGCCAGCACATCCAGAATTAAGAGAGTTTAACATGCTATGGTAGTCACTTGTACACACATAATATGTGAGGTGGGTAAGTGGGTAGAGGCAATGCTTGCTGCAGGGAAATAGGTAAAGGTTCCCCTTGACAATTTGTCCAGTCGTGTCCAATTCTAGGCTCATCTCCATTTCCAACCCATAGAGCTAGCGTTTGTCCACATACAATCCTCCGTGGTTATGTGGCCAGCGCGACTAGACATGGAACACCATTTACCTTCCCACCGAGGTGGTACCTATTTATCTACTCGCATTTTTGCATGCTTTCGAACCGCTAGGTTGGCAGGAGCTGGGACAAGCAACGGGAGCTCACTCAGTCGCGTGGATTCGATCTTACGATTGCAGGTCTTCTGACCTTGCAGCACAGAGGCTTCAGCAGTTTAACCCACAGTGACACCCGTCCCCACTGCAGGGAAATATATCTGCATTATAGGCAGAATTTCCTACTCCTGGGAGCTAAATGCACCCACTTTTCAGGCTTATTGCTGTCACAGCTGAGCATCAGCGACATGGAAATGAAGCAACACTTTTATCAGTATTTTAGGGAAATATAACTGCATTATAGGCAGAATTTCCAACTCCTGGGAGCTAAAGGCACCCACTTTTCAGGCTTATTGCTGTCACAGCTGAGCATCAGCGACATGGAAATGAAGCAACACTTTTATCAGTATTTTATCCTCCGAATCTCAGTGTTTTTTCTCCATCAAAATATTGCTTAAATGCCTCTGAGCAATGGGAGTGAAATGATGGGGTAGTGTGCCAGATAACAAACCTGCTGAGGTGCCGTATCATCTTACCAGCTGTCATGAGAAGCCGTTTCAGGAGCTGATAAGAGACTAGCAAGGGGCTGATCTAAGTCAAGGATGGGCTTTGGGTTATAGATTGGATTGAGCACAGCTTGGTTTCGGCAAGGTGCTATTCTCTTACAGAATAACCCCACCTCAGTGGCCAACCTCTAAATTTCAAGATGACCCAAGATGACATTGAAAGAACCCATAGGTTGCTGGGCAGTGGCCACAGAATGGGAATCAGTGATGGGATAAATGTACAATACTGTATTTTGCAAAAAAACCATGCATGGTTAAACTTGCCCCTACATTGCAAGAATGTAATACCAACCACTAGTGCATAAATAGTAAATAAATGAGATACGTTTTTCTTCGTAACGATGGATTAAGTTGTGTTGTTTAGTCGTTAAGTCGTGTCCGACTCTTCGTGACCCCATCGGTCAGAGCATGCCAGGCCCTCCTGTCTTCCACTGCCTCAAATTCATGCTGCTAGCTTCGATGACACTGTCGAACCATCTCGTCCTCTGTTGTCCCCTTCTCCTGTTGCCTTCACACTTTCCCAACATCAGGGTCTTTTCCATGGAGTTTTCTCTTCTCATGAGACGGCCAAAGTATTGGAGCCTCAGCTTCAGGATCTGTCCTTCCAGGGAGCACTCAGGGTTGATTTCCTTTGGAATGGATAGGTTTGTTCTCTTTGTAGTCCAGGGGACTCTCAAGAGTCTCCTCCAGCACCACAATTCAAAAGCATCAATTCTTCGGCAGTCAGCCTTCTCAAGATTAGACTACTGTAAGGCTCTCTATGAAGGGCTGCCCATGAGACTGCTAAGGAATCTTCAACAGTCAGCCTTATTGATGATCCAGCTCTCTCTTCCATACATCACTACTAGAAAAACCATAACTTTGACTATGCGGACCTTTGTCGGCAAGGTGATGTCTCTGTTTTTTAAGATGCTGTCTAGGTTTGTCACTGCTTTCCTCCTCAGAAGCAGGTGTCTTTTAATTTCGTGGCTGCTATCACCATCTGCAGTGATCATGGAGCCCAAGAAGGTAAAATCTGTCACTGCTTCCATATCTTCCCCTTCTATTTGCCAGGAAGTGATGGGACCAGTGGCCATGATCTTAGTTTTTTTGATGTAGACCTTCAGACCATTTTTGGTGCTCTCCTCTTTCACCCTCATTAGGAGGTTTTTAAATTCCTCCTCAGTTTCTGCCATCAGAGTGGTATCATCTGCATAGCTAAGGTTGTTGATATTTCTTCCGGCAATCTTAATTCCGACTTGGGATTCATCCAGTCCTGCCTTTAGCATAATGTATTTTGCATATAAGTTAAATAGGCAGGGAGACAATATACAGCCTTGTCATACTCCTTTCCCAATTTTGAACCAATCAGTTGTTTCATATCCAGTTCTAACTGTGGCTTCCTGTCCTACATACAGATTTCTCAGGAGATACTGTAGATAAGGTGGTCAGGCACTCCCATTTCTTTAAGGACTTGCCATAGTTTGCTGTGGTCCACACAGTCAAAGGCTTTTGCATAGTCAATGAAGCAGAAGTAGATGTTTTTCTGGAACTCTCTGGCTTTCTCCATAATCCAGTGCATGTTAGCAATT